TTTTTTCACAATTTCAAAGTGGTGTAAACTACTACTATTCTAGTCTTCAAAGGCCTACATGACCCTTCATATACACAAAATGGATAACCAAGGGTCTAGACCAGAAAGGTGGGGCGGGGCCTGTGGGCATTGGTGCCATTTCCTGTCACGGTAATTAAAGCCTGGATGCCTGAGTAATATGGTGTGACCGGCTGTAGTCAGGGGAAGGAGATCATACATTGCTAGAGTATGGGGAGCCCAGAATGATAAATGATGATTAATGGTCAACACCTCAGTGCGGCATCAATGCCCAATTGCCCAGGGAACTGGATCAATGCAGCATCAATGCTCAAAGTGCCAGATATGTGCAGCACCAATGCTGCACCTGTGCAGCACTAAATACCTCTTTCGTGTGGGATATTACTTTCAAGACAGAAGAATATGTGGAAGTAACAACACCTACAGAACACATGAAAGGTGGATCTTGAAAGAATTCACATGCGAAATAGCTTGCCCTGTCACAGACATATTAAATACATCCTTCAATGAAGGCTACGTCCCACAAGCATGGAAAGATGCCACGGTAGTGCCCTTACCCAAGTCACACCCACCATCAGTCGACAAACTCAGACCAGTTTCTCTTACGTCTCAACTTGCCAAGGTAGCAGAATCCTTTGTATCTAATCTTACTGGATCTTAGAAGACATAAGTACATCACTTGTCAAACAGCAGTTTGGTTGCTTGAAAGGTCGCTCCACAACACTGTATCTTGTCAGTCTGGTAGACTTTCTCTGCAAAGAATCGGAAAAAACCAAGAACATTTTGCACAATGGTCATGACAGACTTTTCAGAAGCTTTCGATAGGATAGATCACACGTTAGCCATTCAGAAGTTGCTAAGACTCGGAGTGAGGGGGGGTCTCATCCAGTGGGTCTGCGGCTTTCTTACCCGGCGGCGGCAAAGAGTTCATTATGGAGGCCAACTCTCAGACTGGGAAGTATTAACTTGCTCCGTACGGCAAGGAACACTCCTTGGCCCATTGATTATTGTAGTAATGTTTGATGATGCCACGAGGGATGTTCTGATTCATCATTGGAAATATGTAGATGATCTGTCTATGACAGAATCACGTCATTACCCCAAGCCGTCAGGTTTGTAGTTGTGCCAGTAACATGCCTTTTGGGGGTGTGGCTTCAGAGTGACTTCAAATGGGAGACACAGGTTACCAGAATGACAGGGAAAGCTAAGGGATGTCTCTTCTTCCTACGGAAACTGAAACATTTCAATCTCCCCACCTCCTCACCATTTACACATAGTTTGTACGACCAGTTTTGGAGTACTGTGCACCAGTGCCCGGGACCTGTGCCCAGTCAGACAAACTTTAGGCGGTACAACGAAGAGCATCTCGGACAATACTAGGAAGGTTTTTCACAAGCTATGGACAGAAACTGTGCCTCAAGTTCGGGATCCACTTGAAAACCCAAACACCATCAATGCTTCTACCTAAAGCATCGGACTATCATCGGAAATAACCAGAAACAGAAACAAATACAGAACTATCAAATGTAGGACTGGTCGACTTGAAACTCTCCCATCTCCTACATAGTAGGGCTTCTAAATGCCCGACCTAATAGCCTTGGTAGCAGCTGTCCCTTCTTTGAAATTGACCTATAGATCTAGAAGTTTTCCCGTGATTGGGACTTGTATATATTTTATTTACAGTGCATCAAGCTTTTAAAATATCGTACAATTTCTTATTGATGGTAGTTAACCTCAAATTTTATGAATGTATAAGACTTAGTGTTTATTACCACCTTTTTCTTGTAATATGTTACCAATATGTTTTATTCTTGAACAATTTTTGAGTTTTTATTGTACTGAATCAGCAATTCAGCCTTCGGGCTGCAAGTGATTTATATTTCAATAAACCTTTCATCATCATCATCAAAGTAAGCCACTGGTGCAAAATCAATTTTCACCCACAAAACACCACTTCTTACACTTTTCAGCCATGTTATTATTTCACAGCAGACCACGAGAAATGTGAACACTTGAAATCCATTTGTCCCGTTTTTTTTTTACTTTTCACTACCAAACCCAGAGAAGGAAGAATTGGTGTCTGCACCATGAAATCTGCGGTATGTCTTAAGGATACAAGAAAGATATCATTGCTAACAAGGTTGCCAGTAAATTGAATTTTTCTTTGCAGAATCAAAAATGAAGAAAGATTAACTAACAATTACATGTACAAACGGCATCTAACCCAGTCATTATGTTCCCGACTGAGCAGTTCTCCAAAGTGATCCAAACAACCTTTTTGTGTACATGTACTGCCTCACATAGTAGTACTTAAAGTATAATACATGCTGACTTAAATGTATTTTCTAGATAAAACTATTCTAAATTGGTTCTCATGTAACGTTGTATGTTGATATTAGCATTGCAATGAATGCACAGATATAATGTCAATACCAACTTCGAGGTAGAATTCCCCTTATATTAGCCTAGAACTAAAAGTCTTTTTTTTACACTTATTAACAGTACGCCTCGTATGATCTCAACTATTCAGACAAAACCTGTGTACTACTTCAGGTAGCAACCTTGTCTCATCAACCTTGTTAACAGATATATACATACATTTGAGTGAAAAACATTTTGTAAATGATGTAATGTACTTGTTACCCTCATACATGTACATGTACATACAATAATGTCATCATCATGTGCAATACCGCAAAATCACAGCATGCAAGGAGAATTGCAATATGTTTTATTGCACGTATTGACAAACTTAATTCGAGTTGGACAGGGTATGGTACTGTATTACACTAGTTTACAAATGTAGTAGTTACCTTTTTACTAGTTACATTGACTAGGAATCAACAAGTGATAGAACAGAATTATGTAACCTTAGATCAGAGAATTCATAGCTGTAGCACTATTGTGCAATTAACAAATAACAAATGTTAAAACAATTATTTGCTGCCAAATAAAAAGGAAGGGAAAAAAAACTCCAGACAATTTCATGGATAAAAGTTAATGACAACAATCTCAGTGTGCAAGCCATCCAAAGCATACTGGATGGTACAGTAACTATCATATTTCAAGGCAACAAAAATCAAAATAAGGGAAAAGCCCTTGTGCACTAATGCTAATAACAAACTATGAGGCCCACTTCACACACAGTTTTACCTGACATTTTGATTGTCAAACAATTGAAAAAAATGTTGGGAATACATAAATCATGTACATATTTTGGCAGGATGACAAAAAATGCACTGTCTTTGTAACTAAACCTGTTATGGCAGGCTGTGAAATAAGGCAGGTATTCTGTGATGTTGCCCTCAGGTGCAATGGTGAGTCCATATACAATGTATGTGCATCATAAAGGGACCAAAACATTAGATACAGGTAAAATGCTACCTAGATGCTGCCTCTCTTCTAATCTCACTCTCAGTTTGAACAAAAACTCATAACTACAATAGCAACAACATGTTTTCGTTTTAAAAGTTCAAGATGGGATAGGCACTGTGGTGGATTTTTGTAGTATTGAGATCAACTTTGTGTCAAGATGCGATTGACAAAAGTAGAATTTTACTCCTTCTCTACATTGTTAGGGAACTTTGCTGTATATATGTAATTGCCAATGGAGATGGGTACTACCTTAGTGGTTATTGGCTTAAGGGCAACAGCTACTATATCATCGGAGCGTTCGTGTTTGTTAATGTGTGGGACAGAATGAAGCGTGATGTCGTTCTCTGCTTGTCCTGGCAGGATCGCTGTCAACACACACACTATGGCATAGTGGCGTGCAGTTGGGCTGCAATGGCATGATGGGGCAACACAATTGCAAGACTTGGAAACGTCTTGCACAAAGTAAAGAATCTCACCAACACGCCCCTCTTCACCGAACACAACAGTATATGAATTGTGCCGGGTCACCCGTTTGTACGCCACCGAATGGTACATGGTCCCATGTATCATCATTCTGTAGGGTAGACAAAAGAAACAATTGTCACAAATTAGTACAATCATGTGCATTTGGTACCATTGTAAACTGCTTTAGCCAGCATATAGACAAATAATTGATTGGATCCAAATTAAACAGAAATAAATCTATGAGTCAAAAATTCTTTTACAATTCCTTTAGTATTTTCAAGTTATAAGTATGTTTTTATATGTTACATTTCCAACAAGTAGAATTGGCATTGCCTCATCACAAACATTTTTTCAACCAACAACATTAGAATTTTACATTCCAAAACAATACAAAAACTGTAAACAAAATGTAAGTTGGAGAGCTGAATGTGTGAGTATTGAAAAATATGACAAAGAAAATCAACAGATTGATGTCCTATGGAAAAGACAATACAATCAATAGTAACACCTTATTATAGGGAGCAAGGGTAAAGCAGAACTGAGTTACCTGTCATATGTGGCTAGATGTCCTAAAGGCTGTTGTTTGGCAAGCACGACTGCATCGTAGTGGTCCTTCTTCATCAGCCCACTACCGCATTTCTTGTCGGCCTTCAGGTAGCCAACAGCATAACAGTTGTCACCTATCCGAGTATAGCCAGATCTGTTGACATTGGCAATAAGACAGATGCCGTAAGAAATCGTTAAATACAATGTACATGTAGTTGGTACAAAAGGCACACTAAAACTGTACTGACTGTTATCATAAAACTGATTATAACCGCTGGCTAGGATTACTTACACCTGGTTTTCTGATATTGTGTGCTTTGTAGCTAGAAGACATGTGAACTTCAAAGCTTACTACCTGTCATGTAAAGTTTAGTCTTAAATTTTAGGAAATCAGTCACTAATTATATGTTGTGAGTGAGTGGGTCAGACAAAACCACCTGTGTCAAACAAGTATTCTGCTATTATGAGTTTTACTTCATTCATACAAAAAAAAAAAAATAGCACGAAGCACATAAAGTTAGAGAGAGGGTGTTATGGCTATTCTTACATACATGTAGAGATAGAATGCATATTGCTGTGAACTTGTTGTACAACAAGGTCCATGAGGCTGTGAAATCTTTTTACTAAAATACATTTTTATTCCCTCAAACTTTGTGGCAAATATGATGGGTTTTTTTCACCTACATAAGATATCAGTCATAATGGATTGGATATCTTCCTCATCACATTGAATGAAAATGGACAAATTATTAAAAAAAAACTCCATAGATCTTTGATACATCATGCTTACATTTCGTCCGGGTTTCTCTGCTTCCATATCTTGTGGATGAAGTCCTGGGCTGGAGTTCCAGGCTGAAAGCACTCTCTGGTGACCTCTGGGAATTTCTGTATGATGAAGACAGCTCGCATCAGCTGTAGACAAAAGAATGAAAGCCATGTTATGACACTTGAGTTTCAATAGTTCTACTTAAATGGGCTTGAAGCACTAGATCTAGTAATTAATCTTCAGGCAAATGTTGCTGAAATCAGTACTTTTTTTCAGAAATAGAGAGCTAGACAAAACTAACAATATTTCCTTCTAGCATTTGCTTGTACAATTTCAACCCAAAAATTCATTAACACCACATATTTCAATGATGTACTGAACTTTGCAGGGGCTGATGCCACACTTGATACTGACCTGCTCAACTATACCATTGGTGCCATGCACCAAATGCATCAGCTGGCCATTCAAGTCTTCAAAATGGAAGCACGAATGTGCCCACAGGGGTCCCAGCTCCCTCACATTGTCGACATAGTGTACCAAGCTGTGGACATTGCACACTACTTCAGTATTCCCTGCATGAACAATGAAATACAAAACACAATACTGTAGCTCAACAAAAATTGCAACTAAACAGGTGTCTATTACCAGTAAAACTTTGTCTATTACTGAAAATTGGGGAGGGGGGGTGCATCCACTTCTGATGTTTGGGTGCTGTTTGTAATGTACGTACTGTTTGGTGTATTGTAACACTTTTCAAAAACAAGGGTGACAGGAGTGTCTGCGACAACTATCGCGGCATCTCCCTCCTCAACATCGTCGGCAAGCTATTTGCCCGTGTTGTTCTGTCCAGATTGCAAGTGATAGCTGACCGTGTATATCCAGAGACTCAATGCGGCTTCAGAGCTGGGCGTTCCACCATCGATATGGTTTTCTCAGTGAGGCAATTGCAGGAAAAGTGCAGGGAGCAAAATCAACCCCTCTACCTGGCTTTTGTCGACCTCACCAAAGCCTTTGATCTGGTTAGCCGCAGTGGTCTGTTCAAGCTCCTTGAAAGGATTGGATGCCCACCAAAGCTACTTTAGCATAATAAAGTCATTCCATGACAACATGAGGAGTACGGTCAGTTTCGATGGGAACATGTCAGAGCCATTCCCAATCCTCAGCGGGGTCAAACAGGGCTGTGTGCTCGCCCCAACGCTCTTTGGTATCTTCTTTTCTCTACTTCTGGGCTATGCCTTCCGATCCTCCAACGACGGTGTTTACATCCATACCCGTCACGATGGCAAGCTGTTCAACCTGGCCCGTCTACGAGCAAAAACAAAGACAATCCGTGTCCTTCTCAGGGAGCTTCTTTTCGCTGATGATGCAGCTTTGGCTAGCCACTCAGAACAAGGCCTGCAGCGTCTCCTGGATTGTTTTTCAAGCGCATGCCACGAGTTCTCACTAACCATCAGCATAAAGAAAACTGTGGTTATGGTCCAGAATGCTCCATGTCCCCCTCTTATAACAGTGAACGACTCCAGTCTTGCTGTAGTCGACAGGTTTACTTACCTTGGGTCGACGGTCACCCAGAACCTGTCCCTTGACATAGAAATCAATACCAGAATTGGCAGAGCAGCTTCAGTAATGTCAAAACTCAAACATAGAGTATGGGAAAACAAGAATCTGTCCATACAAACAAAGCTTAGAGTGTACGAGGCCTGTGTCCTTGGCACTCTTCTTTACGGAAGTGAGACTTGGTCAACTTATGCGGTACAAAAGCCAAACTTAATGCTTTCCACATGAGATGCTTACGTAGGATCCTGGGCATTACCTGGATGGACAGGGTTACAAACTCCGAGGTCCTCAGGAGGTCAAGATCCAGGACCATGTATGCGATTCTCAGTGAACGTCGTTTGAGATGGCTAGGCCATGTCCGCCGCATGGATCAAGACCGCATTCCAAAGGACTTACTGTACGGCCAGCTTGAGCGCGGAACTCGGAAAAAAGGCCGCCCTCATTTGCGATACAAGGACGTCTGTAAGAGGGACCTTAGGGCAGCACACATCGACTCCGAGTCCTGGGAGAACATCGCCCTTAACCGCACCCTGTGGAAATCCACTGTCAAAACAGGGGTGAAGAGGGCGGATGAGGATCGGGACAGACTGCGAAAGGAAAAGAAAGAAAAACAAAAGACGAGACCAGCTCAGCATACTTCAACATTTATCTGTGAGAGCTGCAACAGAGACTGTCACTCAAGGATCGGTCTATACAGCCACAGGAGAACCTGTTCAAGGAGGCGCGTGCCATCGTCTGCCCAGACGGAGGGAGGCCAATGATGACTGTTTGGTGCGTGTAGTGCTTAAGACTTTAACATCCCTAGTAGTACAATCGGTTGCGTTAATCTTATCTATAAAATTACAGTTGTTTTAGTACGTTGATCACGATTTTAGTATTATACTAATTTATAGGCATTGAGAGAAAATTTCTGGCTTCACGTCCACTCAGGTTCACAGTGATTGGATGAAGTGGTTAGTATGTTAGTATGTTACATAGATATGAAGGCTTACAGGGGCTATTAACACAACCAGTTCCACTGCAATTGTGTTGAAAGACACTGCACTAATATGGGCAATGACTTAAAAAATTCCTGGGCTAAAAGAATAAGTTGGTTATGGGTACACCAAATATGGGACTTTGAGTGCTGTCAATCAGTGATTGTTTGCTGACTCTGGCACTAACTTTCTCAACTAAAGTTTAAGTAATGACTAAATCTTATCTAAATTGGTACATAGCTTATCTATTTGTTTGTTTGTTTTTTTGCATGATCAGCACACCAGTTTGTACAGTTAAGCACAAGCTGTGCGAATCTGGCCTTTAAGGTTCAAATTACTCACACAAGAATTCAAATTACTCTTTTGGATAAGTGTGGTGTGTACTTTGACGTTCTCAAGGTGTGGCTCTCCTCAAATACCGGACATCCAGCTTTGTGTCCTACCAGATCAATTAGCTTAGGTACTCATTTTCACCTGTCAAACGCCTTTCCCAAAGGCAAAACACTTGTGGCTGCTATCCAAACCAAGAATTTTTAGATTATAACCCAACAATTGAAACCACAACACCACCTTCTGATCTGATACTATACCAAGTAAATCTAATACACTAGCAGGGATAGCATGTTTTCATCTGGACCAAGTCTTTTTATGCTGTGAAATTAATTGCTGATTGAATTAACTCTATTACTTTTGTTTTGCTAGATTTTATCATTATACTGTACAAAAAAAGTTTGCTTTAATTTTCATGGCTTTTCATGACCTGCTCATCGTGAAATTATGACATCACGAATATACTTTTCCAATTTATAACTTCTGTGGTACAAAATTGTTTCAACTGCAAACTGTGGCTAATGGTACTTCCTTTCTCTTTTACTGTCAAATTACATCCCAGCAAAAATAAATGAATTTACAATGTCATCATATTAGTTTTTGTGCAATGGCTTAAACAACGTATTTCCATTCACACAAAATGTTGCATTGTTAGAGTTACATGTACAACAGATATGTAAATACCTTTCCAGTGCGGGAGATGAGAGGAGATGCTCCTTGGCATTCGATGTACCTCCATCGGTGGCTTAATGCTTTCCAGCATGTTGTCAACTGCCAGCTTAGACTCACCACAATACCACTCTCCATTCTTGTCGAAAAACCAGAAATGGATCAAGCGTTTAGTGACACCAAGAAGTGTCCCTTGCATGTAATCAATAGCCATTCCTTCAATGATGTCAAAGTGTGGTATTGTGGTCAGCCAAGAGGCACCTTTTATGCCAAACACCTGTTTGTAAGGCCACACCAATTTAATTTCTTGCTTAACGGATTTTTCCAGAAAAATAATGGAGCGGGCGGGCGAAAAAAAAAATAAAAATAAAAACAGGCCAGGCATCCTATTATGGCCCAAAATGGTATGATAGGAGCCATGAAGTCAACACACCAGGCTGACAAAACGAAAACATGCGCGCGCGGATGTCATCCATATAATCAAAATTTAAACAATGAATTTTGAACTTTTAATGATACCATTGCATTGAAAGATGGAATAACTGTAACAAGTAGGATGAAAAGGACTCTTTTCAACTGTTCAGGGCAAAATATGAGCATTTTGCAGTTGATTATGAATTTTTATTTTTATTTGCAAATCAGAAAAAAATGAAGAGGCGAATCCGTTAACCAAGAAATTAAATTGGTGTGGCCTAAGATAAGAAAAAAAATGTAAGTCATGTTGAGTTTGCTACAAAATCAAGTTACATATGTGTAATGTCATGTACATACATGTACAGTACTGCAAATATGATAAAGCATTACCGTACATATTCATGTTCATCGGTACACTATATGTTGCTCAATCCTGTCCAATGCTACAATGAAATTTGCAGTTTCCCCAAATGTTAGGCCATGTTGATTTGATTATATGGATGACATCCTCTGGGAACCCCAAAACTGATACGCGCGTGCGAATAAAAAAAAAGTTTTGCAAAAAAAAAAGTTGCTGTCACTATGAAGTCTACGTGGTCATGAAGGTTGAACATATGGCACAGAATATGTTATGGCGAATAAATCTACTCTTCGAATTCATTTCGTTACATTTTTGTCTTTTTTCCTTTGATTTTGGCATTCTACGACGTTGGTATCGTTTCTAAATGTTTTCCTTGCAACTTATGGTATATTTTTGCTCATTTAGCAACTGTTTTGCACGATTTACAGTATGGTTGAAAACTTTTTATTTTTTTTGGAAACGGCCGAAAATTCATGCGCGCGCGGATGTCATCCATATAATCAAATCAACATGGCCTTACTGGGGTAAGTGCATTCCACCCATACATTTAGACATCATGGTCTTTTGCTAAGATAAATGTTCAACTTACTCAATCCAATTTTTTTTTTACTTTTTCAGTTCTTGCATGATTTAACTTTTGTTAACAGCATAACTGAATGAAAGATCATCTGAGTTAGTGTAATGCAAAGTAAATTCAAATTTAAGCTTTGCCCAACATTGATAGAAACACCATGTTTTGTTTAAGTTCTACTTCTGTCACAGGTCAGAGAGGGCTGATGCCCTAACATATACTGCCTCCTTTAACCCTCTCTCTTTTGATTTACTCCTAATGTCCCCGGAAAAGTCAGCGCAGTGAATCATTCATCTGAAAAGGTTGACACAATCGACTGAAAATTATGGTGTTTCTGTCAGTGTTGGAACAAAGCTTAAATTCTACAATTGAATAAATACCCAACAAACCAGGAGCATCCCACAAATTCCTCCAGAGCTAGCCAGATTCACAAACCCTATATGACTGAGGTCAATCAGTTGGTGCTATGATTATAATATTGCTCTGCACATTGCGCTAAAATTTAGTGGCATACAAGTGCAAATGTCTTACGTCTTTGGATGATGCAAGGGCAGCTTCAGCGTGTGCTCTTGCCTCCTCATGTGTTCGTTTTGGGCCTTTGGGGTTGGCAGTTTGGAAGGGATACTGTTGTTTGTGTCCAGCGTGGGTCCCTTCCTGCAGACACTTTGGACAGCCACACTTGCCGTTGTGCTGCTTCATGTTTATGAGCAATGCTTTGGCCTGCATATCAGCAGTGCACCCAACAAGGAACACCTTTGCGATGTAGCTTTCTTCGTTTGGTGGCTGTACCTCAATACCTAATATTGGAAAATGTTTTTAGATGGTCAAAATTTTCAGTCATGATACTAAGAGCTCAGTGGTAACTATTGATGGAGATCAGTTAAGCTTCAGGTCATTTATCAGATGTCAAAAGTCAATTGAACTGTCTTACATTGAATTCTATAACATTAAATGATTGTAATCTTTGCACATATTTGCACATTCATGCCCGAGGGCTAATTGCACACTAACAAGAACAATGAATACAGAATGTATAAAACCATGTGCTAACTACTAATCTAAGGTTCTATCTTTACGTGACAGAGAGAGGACGTGAAATACATCCCCAAGTAAGAGAGACATGGCAACAATCATTCTATTTTGAATTTCTAGCTATTGGGGGGGGTCTTGTTTTCTAGAGGCAGTGTCTGACTTTTTGAAAAATAGATTAGCAGTAATACTGTCTTTTGTAATGTTTGGTGAGATGTGAAAAACAGTGAAATATCAGAGACTTCTTTAATTTATTGCAATCGTATTTAGGCCACTGATAGATAAAATGCAAATTTGTCTTCCACTGTCTTTCTCTGTGCAGTATTTACAGTATCTCTCACTTAGAGCCAGTGTCTTAGTGTACTACACGTAGTACTGTAATACTGTATTTTCCTATTTCTAATGAGTTTATAGCGATTAGTCTCATTTTACATAGAGTTGATCTTAGTTGAGGATGATGTAAATGTTTCCATAATGTAGTCAGATTTAAGAGTTGTAAGAAGTTATACAGTCTTAATTTGCCACTATTGACAGATAAGTTTTTGAGGATTAGGTATGTATGTTGGTAGACTTTTCCTCAGCAATACAGGTACAAATCCACTGTACCATCTAGGTTGTCATTGTGCCAAATGAATGAGTTGCTATTATCAAGTATCTCTTTCACGTGGCATAACATGAGTTTTCTTGTGCAGCTGTTTACCATGTCGCGTTGTTGATGCAGTAGCTTGTAATATAAGGGATTTATTTATCTTTATTCATTGGTTTGGCTGTTCAACACACACAGCCAGAGCAGCCCGACCAGCCTGATGCTATTACAAAGGGCTTGCCGTGCTCAGTACAAGACAGTACAACTACAAGACTTGTAAGTAATGTATGCAGAATTATCTACACTACCAAAAATGACATTTCTAGCATTCCTGTTTTTTCTTACAGTCAGAAAATATTTCTTCCCTGAAGCAAATTTTTTTGTATTTAAGAACGAAATTTTGTCCACGAATTAAGTAATTTTTTCTTGATAGACTTTTTCTTGCAGTAAGAATATTTTTCTTATAGGTTTCTATATAAGTTATTGTTGGTTACTTCTAGAATCTTATTCTTACAGTAAGATTCGTGATGCAGACAATTGTTCTTATACAAAGACTGCAGTTCTCAATACAAGCCTAAAATTCTATAAATCTGGAAGTTATTTTATTCTTTCAAGATTTTCGTTCTTATCCCAAGAACACTACATTCTTATCTGCTAGAAATAGCTTCTTACTTCATCTCACACCCAGAATATATTTCTTCTGTCAAGACCAAAATTCTTGTGATACATAGAAATAGATTAAGATTCATGTTCTTGCATTGCACTAAAAGAATAATTTTTTTCTTGTGCAAAGAACTTTTTACTGTCAGCAAGAACCTTATTCTTTGAACAAGAATCCCCGTTTCCAGAAAATTCAAGAAACCCACGCCACGTTGTTCTTATTCTCAGAATTTATTTCTTAAAGCTAATAAACCATTAAGAATATTCTTCTCATAAGAATTACGGGTTCTTACAGGAAGAATATCTATCTTGTTCGCAGGAAAATATTTCTTGAACGAAGAGCTAACTGTTACACAAGAAAATATTTCTTGATCTAAGAGCTATTTGTTCTTATAGCAAGAAAACCATTCTGCCCACAAGAAAAGATGTCTTGAACTAAGAGCTAACTGTTCTTGTAGTAAGAAAACCATTCTGTAGACAAGAAAATATTTCTTGAACTAAGAGCTAATTATTCTTGTAGCAAGAAAATCATTCTGTATACAAGAAAACATTTCTTGAACTAAGAGCTAACTGTTCTTATAGTAAGAAAACCATTCTGCACATGAGAAAAGATTTCTTGAACTAAGAGCTAATTATTCTTGTAGCAAGAAAATCATTCTGTATACAAGAAAACATTTCTTGAAAAGCTGTTCTTATAGTAAGAAAACCATTCTGCACATGAGAAAAAATTTCTTGAACTAAGAGCTAATTATTCTTGTAGCAAGAAAATCATTCTGTATACAAGAAAACATTTCTTGAACTAAGAGCTAACTGTTCTTATAGTAAGAAAACCATTCTGCAAATGAGAAAAGATTTCTTGAACTAAGAGCTAATTATTCTTGTAGCAAGAAAATCATTCTGTATACAAGAAAACATTTCTTGAAAAGCTGTTTTTATAGTAAGAAAACCATTCTGCACATGAGAAAAATTTCTTGAACTAAGAGCTAATTATTCTTGTAGCAAGAAAATCATTCTGTATACAAGAAAACATTTCTTGAGCTAAGAGCTAGCTAACAGTTCTTATAATGAGAAAAACATTCTGCACATAAGAAAATATTTCTTGAACTTAGAGCTCAATATTCTTGTACAGGGCCCTGATTCTTGTATCAATAAAACTATTTTGTCCACAAAAGAAGAAATAATGTTACAGAGAATGATATTGCAACAATTAAAATCCTATAACAATTATTTGACAGGCCTCTTGACACTGACAGTATAGGAATCACTGTACGAAAACCCACGTTTCCAAGAGTTTCCCGGCCCGCACATACCCGTGAAATTCGCCGTGTCCTGGTCGCGTTCATGGATTTCCGGGCTCTGCGTGTACGGCCCCGGATATTTCCTTACACTCCCGGATTCGTGCTCGCCGTGCGTGTGCACGGAAATTTACGCCCCGCACACTTGGCGTGTATTGGGGAGCGGCTAACAATAAGGGGTAATTAGGTACTGCGTGTATTCATGTTTCAGGTGATAATTACTTGAACCAAAGTTGCCATTACTTGAATCTAAGCAAATTAGCATGATCAAGGAGGTTTAGTCATGGTTTAATACAACATTTAAACCTATGCCTCCGTGACTTGATTTATCGTGATCTCTTTCATACGACAAGTTAGAAGGTGATACAACAAAAAACATCTGCTACTAGTATACTATCGATTTTAGTCAGCTCAATGGAAACGATTGTGAGGTGAAAATTATCGGGTTTACGATTAGATAATGAGAATTTATCCCAAAACAACTATACCAAAGAGGTTTCCTTCTGACCGCATTGAATACTAGTATACAACAGGCATCTTGCTTATCAAGGCTAAGGAACTTGGTGTATACGTACCAGAAAAACAGTTTACAAATACCGGTAGTGTGTGTGCAAGGACATTCTGTATAATAAGAATGAATGAAGACCTTTATTGTACGCAACTACCCACTGGGTTCAGTACAGGTCACAGGAAATACGTCACAGTTTGCAATGAATATACACAATGTACAAGCTAGCGCTAATTCTATGTACTATGGACATATAGTCTAATAGACGAGAATTTGGCTTCTTCTTCGTGTGTGTAATCAAAATTACCTAAATGTACACTCTGGTCTAGATTTTTAGTGGGGGGAGGGGGATATCTTGTTCGCAAGTTGTGGACCATACTTTAATGTATGGTCCACAACACTTAGATTTAACCAAAGAGCTTGATTTAGGTATGAGTAATATGCTTGCTTCACACGGTAGTTAGGTCGATGTGTATTGTATTGTTCCTGTCTGGCATGGCGCCAATTATGTTAATTTGGTTCTTTTGTTAATATCCTTTGTCTGAACAGAGGGAAAACTCACAGCGTCCCCACGCCTGGTACATTGTGAATACATGTACTGAAATCCCGCACTTCTCTACAACTCTAAGTATACAACAATAATTGAATACAATGTGGTTTTCATACGTCGATTTTAACTTGGATACATTCACAGAGAATAAGGTTTGTATTTAACCTCCTTGTTGCGACAAACAGTGTGGTTCTATTGCATTCATGGGAGTTACAATAGTTTCTAGAGAAAAAAATCATAAACCATGGAGTCTTTCACTAAGGTCTGTATAACCAAGGGCTTGTAGTACGGAAAAAAAAGTATATCAAATGATTCGGTGACTTTGTAGACGCAGGTGATGTGTGCAGGAGTTGACCGCCCGGTGAATGTTATTGACACGACAAGAATCCAACACGTCAGATAAAGCAGACGAGCAGAGTTCCCAGGTGTGTAGATCGCAGCAACTCGAAAAAAAGGGAAACTGTTAGCAAGATAAATATGAAACCTGTACACATATAACACTTTACATCCATAGAAATCAGGGAAATTAGTTGATGCTTTTATTTAACTAGACCTAAGATGAAGCATACATGCAGCTATCGAGAAATTATAAACACGAATAACAAACTATTCATGTAATGAGAGGCTAAAAAACTAGGATACCGACAAAAAGACAAACCAAGTTTTCTAACCCGATAAACTACAATTTATGGTTCTAAACATCCACTTTACTAGACCTACATGTATATATGAGATGAAATAAAAATACAGCCATCAAGTAAAAATAAACACGAACAAGAAAGACAAACATATACAATTGCGGGACCTAGCTTTCTCTGTCTAGTTTGCCGCAATATACAAGACAAACGCGCATTTATTAATACATAAGTACATTGTCGCTCAATTTACAAGAAAAAATTATATATAAGAAATACTAGGGTAACTAGGATTAAATCGATAAACATTAGGGCTAAACATATCTGTTAAAAAGAAACAGTGAGAGGATAAAAACTAGGATACCGACAAAACGTCAAACCAAGTTTTCTAACACGCTAAGTTATGACAATGATGCCATACACAGGGGCACTATGACAGAAACTCTTTCTTTCATGCGTTCAAACTGTACAGTCGATGTACTAGCAACACATCTGCCCGCTATATGTTCCACTGGTATGAAGGACGCTGATGATTCAGGCTCAAACGCCAATCCCCACACCTGGACCGGACTTCCGCGACCATAGAACCACCTTTCGGGATGGTATTGATACCATGTTACCCTAGCCCTGGCCACAGCGTGCGAACATCTTCGCCCATTCCCTAACACAAGGTGGACCAGGATAAACTCCCTCAAGACAGCAGGGCGATCTTCTGCACGTGAGTCAATGGTCGGTTCTTCGGATCCAGGGTCAGAGTAACACCATTTCGCATGTACACATGCAGACCTTTCTGACCTACATGAATTTACAGCCATGTTCACGCCATTGCATCTAACTCTGGTACAGGACATAGCAAACACATCTATATGCGAAATACCTTCCCCTGGGTACATTGTTCGGTACATGCTCAGCAGCATATTGCGAACCGCCACACTGATAACTACCTTACGAAAAGGGGAAAGCGGCTCCACATGAGAAGCGTTATCTAGCACCATAGCATCTGACAAGAAGCGACTGGCCTGTGCAACTGGCGTACATGATGCCTTTCTGCCATTTAGAACATTCTCAAATGCTTCTCCATACCCACCGGGCCAGGTCATCATACTAAGCTGCTTGGACTGTTGGAACTTTCTCATAATTTGAACCTCGATATTCCGATTGTTGTGCTGATACTTACCCAACATCCCATTATACCTTTCGAATGAAAAACACCAAAAAGAGTACACGGGTCCATAGTCCTCAATACATTCCTTTAAATGCAAGTGCAGGTGCATGTTCGGCGTGCAATGCTGAGGCCCACATATCTCTTCAAACATGGCTAGAAACCTCTGCAAATGATTGTCAGCATCCAGCAAGTTCTCGTAGGAGATCACCCGGGAACATAGCAAACGACAAGCCTGAACAAACTCATACCACATGTCATAATGTCGGCTATCTATCAGTCCTTTTAAACAGAACAAAGAATAGATGCAGGTCCAGTTCTTCCACTGATCAGCTGTGAAGCCGCTAAATCCCGAGGCGATCTTACGTGGAATTCTGCCAACGTCAGAAGGAACTTTCATACTGTCAATCCTGCTTTGAATTACATCAAAGGCCTTCCTGTTTAGCACGCCCAAATCAACCCATACCTTGAAGACATGTTTAGAAGTACCAAGCAGGAGATTATGCATAGGATCAATGACAACAAACCTCACGGCATCGTAATAAGGTAATCGGAAAAGTTCTGACCACCTAGCTCCATACCGATCCTCAACCCTCTTCCTTTCCGCCTTCGACTTGGCCCGTCTACCCATCTTAGCAAAGCTGACATGATCAGAAGATGTGCGGAGAGGCCAAACGGTCCTGTCAAATCCTGAATAATCTGCCTTTGTGCCAAACCTCGACCTTGTAAACATCCTCAGACATTTACTACATCCTCTCAGAGCCCCGTGACCAACGAAACCTCCACACTTACGAGCAGCCGGGATGTCAGACGACAGGCATACGAGAGCAGCCCGATACAACTGAGCCCCAAGAACGGAGTTATCTGATAGGAGGACACCTTTCCACAGATCCTGCAATTCTTCCACCAGAGGTTCCAAGAAGGAATTTATATCTATCTTAGGCTCTTTTGGACCAGGAATCAAGCCAACAACAATCATGTTCTCTTCTTTAAACCGTTCCTCTCTCGGCAGATTCAACACCACAAGATACAAGACCCCTACCGAATACTCACTATGCTTGTAGGGCTGGTACCAATCACAGTTAAGCATTAGTGCCAAGTTGTTGGGCTCAGCGAGGAAAGGTGTGCCATTTACATATTGAAACTCATTCCAGACCTTCCCATCATACACATCCGTCATTCCAGTACCGGAGACATCTCTCTCTCTCCATTGTTCGCACTTTTCTTGGAAGCTAGGCTTACTTACAAGTTCTTGAAGAGATTCCACAACGCTCTTATAGCAAAACGTGCTCTTCGGATACAGATATTCACCATCACCATTAATAGACTTTACTTTCTTCATCAGAACAGTACCACATTTACGACGTAACTCAGACCGCCTGTGAGGATGGCTATAGAAGGGAACAAACTCGCACTTCCTAGACACCTTTTCGCCATTCGCCTTTGTACGGTATGCCTCTTCCATAGTATACCTAGTCCTGCACTTGGGGCATACAACGAACTTCACAAAATCATCTCGGTGGAGTCCTACACAATTACGAAGGGAGTACAATGTGCTAGGAATAGCCTCAGAAAGCCCGACAATGCTATCAACACCATAGACATTTCCAACGACCTGAATGAACAGCTTGACGGCCAGTAACAATGAGTGCACGGCGTTATCAGAAATCTTGAATATGGTTTGCCAAACTAACAATAACATAGTTAAGAGTTTGACAAACATGTGCTTCTTACCTCCCGGTGTGTCGCTCTCTCCAGTAGCGCTGTTGTCAACCGCGACAAACTCTTCTCCTGTCGGCGCTTCTCCACTCCAAATTTCGGGTTCTTCTTGGTCATCCACATCTTCTCGTATGTCTCGCTAGAAAAATGAATATGAAGTTACGATCCTTATTATATGTAACCTTCCACTTCCAAGAGTGTAGAAGGGTAAAGTAAAACTGTTACCTTGCTTGTAATCATTCCCTTTTGTTCAGTACTGAATTGTCTTCAATTGCGTGTTGAGTTGCTTTACTCTGAGGCTCCTCATCGAACCTGTTATTCCACACGCAATGCGCATGATTACCATTCTGAACTTTTTTTAAGACAACATTTTTACTCACTTTTGTCATCGCCGAATTGTCTTGAATGACGTGTCAAATATATACAATTTATACCAGCAGCTTTACCTTGAGTTTCCAAAAAAACTGTTATGTGCGTAATAACCCTTTTTGAACTTTTTTTCAAACACAACATTTTTCTTTATAGATGACGATAAATGCATAAGTTAGAAAAAAATACCTCTTCATAGCATGCGTCGCCTTGGTCACTAGAAGTGTCAGATCCTGTATCGCTGAGGAAAAGCCGGAGATCTTCATCTTCAAGCCAACCATTCGTCTCCCCTTCTCCAACATCAAACCCGTCATTTTCTTCAAGAGAAAACAAAAGATTTATGAAAAAATGCTTCTTAAACATAAATAATGCAGATGAATGTAGGGCGTAATATTTGAAAGACAAATTGAACACCAAACTTAAACATATATATGCCAGTAAAGCATTTATAGTTGTTAGACAACAAGCAATGGTGACTGTTATCTATAGTATAATATATTGTATAATCTATTGTACCCTTATAACGTCCCTTGGCATCAGCATTCAATACGCCACTTTGAACATGTCTCCATTTCGTTTTGCGAATACACATACACATATACATGTATAGATAAAGTAAAGGATGCTTTTATGTTTATGTTTCATTTTCAAAATGGTCTTGCTCACCAGCTGAAGATGTGTCGGGCGGCTCTAATCCGTCATCATCAAGTGTGTCTTCTGTGTAGAAGTCTCCTTCACCATGCTCCTGTGTGGCTATAGGGCAGCTAGCTCCTTTGGAGGGAATTAGAATAAAAAGTCAGACAAGAACTGGGGCGTGAAATATTACGTGAGTGCAGGTACAAAAAGTATTAGCCAAAATGATATTTATCGATCGGTGCCATCGAGTTACTTAAACAACTTGTAAGGAACAGTCAACGTACCGTTATCCACCGTATCCGTTGGCCCTTTAGATCCACCGAACAGCGCAGCTTGCCTCCAAACCCCGTCCTTAAAGAACTGTTTTTTGTGAAGATAGTACGCAGTATTCCCCAGTTCCTGATTGCAATGCCCGCAGTACTGTCTCTGTCTCTTCCTCTTCGATCCTACTTTCTTGGGACATGCATCATCCATGGTAGCTCATGACGAATGAAGCTAACAGTTCAAATGCAAAATCTAAATTGTAGTCTACAGCATTTGTGATGCTTTTAAATACCTGAGTATAGTAGTCTTGAACATGATCACATGCATACCAATGACCAATCATACGATGCCGACGATAATTAGCCAATGGCGTTTGAGGTGGTTGGTTTGAACTTACATAACGACTTGCAATTTGGTATACTAGTATCAGTTTGTGTGTCTGTTTTATCTAGCTGCCTCGAAGTAAATGCCTTGGCACAATATTATATTAAAAAATACCATTTCATCAAGTGCCCAAACTAAACAGGAGTCTTAAAGTACGCCCCTAGAATACGTTACTAGTATACAAACATGACAAGACCATTGTAGTATTGAACGGGATCACGTGACTTATCATTCATATGATTGATGACCAATCCTATCTCAGTCTCGCTGGGATCAGCCAATAAGAGTCCTGAGCTTTTGTTTAGGTGGGTCGTTTGAATCTTACTTTGTCATAACGACAGCTTGCTCGTTCCAAATACATTCGTCTCGGCTAGCAACGATTACAAGTATCTTCCTGAACCAAAATGTCCAACTTTTCGGCCCGTAACTTTTATCGAAGCGGTGTTCGCAACGGTAGAAGCGAATCTACACCACGGTCCAGTAACTCGCAGAACGAAAGGACACCGCAGCGCACCGCTGAGGGAACTCCGGTTGACCCGTTTCGCACGCCACCAGGTTCAGAGGTAGTATCAAACGAGAAGATCTACCGAGCTCTGATAAACCTCAGCCGAGAGATGAAAGAGCAAGACAGAAAGCACTCGGAAGAAATGCATGTAATGCAGACGAAAGTTTCCGAGCTGACGGAAGAGGTGCTAGATCTGCGCCAGCGGCTGGAGGCAAGGGCCGCCGGGGACGGAGATGGCGCGCAACAAGATGGAAGGCGCCGAAAAAGAGCCAAGTCGACACAGCTATCGGTGAGCTATATACACTTTTATTTCTATGTGTACATATACAAATCTGTTGTTAGATAATATCCTAAGTTAACTTTCCTAAATTTGAAATTTATCCACTATGAAATTAACTATAAGTGCTACAAACTGTTTTGGTCGAAAGCGTCTGTTGTTCTGTACTGTTGGAACTATACCTGTGTATTACAACGTCTGCTTTCAATGCAAATGAGGTTAACAATACACGCCAGGTATATACAAACCATGCATTAACACTTGTGTTTTTTTTTCTCCTTAGGAGATGGTGAGGCGCTTGCACAACTCTGATGAAAACGAAAAGAAATTCGACGGGAAGGAAGGGTAAGCTAAACTAAATGTATTAGCATTGTTTCAATACCTTGGTTAAGATGCACCAAGATGTTTCTACAGAAATAATCGGCTTCACGTGTTGTTCATGACCTGAAATGATTTATAACGCATGTGAAAGATATAACTAATTATAAGCTCATTGGATGTGCATACGACAAAAAGTTTATTTTGGTGGAAAATGCAGTAGATTAACTTTTTCTTAATGAAATACTTTGTGGCCTTAAATACTATATCCGTAGCATGTTTGCAGCTCATCAATGCAGAAATAATATAACACAATTTTTACTGTTTTATTTCTACAGACTCAACTCACCCCACAACGCAACAGTGACGTCGCATCTTGTGAAAGAACTTGCTGCAAGTGGCGAGTATCCACCAAATGCCATTCGAGGTGAGAAGCTAACTTCTTTTGTACAATGTATAAGAAGTAGTTTGTGTATATATTTGATATAATTGATGTATGTGATATATGTACTTGTTCAAATCGCTTTAGACTTAGTATTGATACTTAGATTATAAGAAGTGGATCAATACAGCTATATACACAGTTTGCGTGTTGCTAAGTACATATATTCCTTTTTTCAGACGCCTGTGTGGGATACTACGAGACCATTCGAAGGAAGTTTGTGAACAGCCTCCCTGAGAACAAAGAAAAGGCGTTGAAACACAAGAAGGACAAGAAGCAGCGGTCACGCAGACAAAGGGTGAGTCTATGCAAATGTATTTTTTTGCATACAAAAGACCAAGCGCTCGACAACTTTAATTTGTTTTCATAAGCGAGGAAATGTTGTGTTTGGATTGTTCTCATGTAAAATCTAAAATTTATTACAATAGAAACACAAACAAGTGGACGTTGACGGTTGACTTTATAATCTGAGACTTTTCATTTGGACAAAATTGTTGCTGTTGTCTGACTTTTTTCACACTCTGTAAAACCAAGGACCTTTAAAATAAGATTATTTCAAAGATCCTTGGCAAAACTACTGGTAAATTTAGTTGAAATAAAAATGACTTCATCTTTACTGACTATTCCGTTTATCTATGTTTTGAACCAGCTGATGGACGCAAGAGGCACCGCACTCCAAACAGATGACGAAAGAAGGCTGTGGACTGGAGTGACGGTGGACCTCATGTCGGACGAGGAGGACGCCGTTTCAAACGGGATAGCTGTGTGGTTAATGAAGCCGCCAGCGTTCAGAAGCACACAGCTATCCCAACTCTGCGGCGTCCTGCAGACCCGACTGGATACAGGCGGCAAACACAGCGACGGCCGCAAGCCAAGGATAAGAGAGGAGGCCGCCGTGAGCGACAGGCAGCCCCCTGAGAGCTACGACCCCGACCTGGCCCCGCTGCACTTCCGGCCAGGACACCTCCCCCGCCCGGCACGCCGCCCCGGCCTCGCCACCATTACGAACACCGTCACCAACACCCCACCCCACAGGCCACCAGCCGGGCGGAGTTTAAGCTTCAACGACACAGACGACACCATGTCCCCGCGCGCCCTTGAGGGCTACAACCAACCCTCGTTTGTTGAGGGAGAGGACATTTCAGACTCGGAGAATATTTCACTTACGCCCTTGTAAATGACCGGACTTTTGACTTTTGTGACTTTTATGTACCGTAATTCTTGATTTGTTAACTGTCACTTAATTATAGCTGATTTAGCTGTTAGTTTTGTACCGCTAAAATTTCAGTACCGTAATACATTGTATTTGAACACTTTTGATCATCTGCCTTGTCCACACCGCTAAAATTAAGTGCCGTGAGCTAGTCCATTTTCCTCCCAACGCTATAATTTCCAAACGCAATATTAAATGGAATTACAGTAGTTTTCAATGCATTGTTTAATGTAACTTGTAAGCGTTGTTTATTTTCTCTTTCAACTACTAGCAATGTTAGGATTTACTTGTTTTTAAAGTCTTTGTTTATGTTGCATCATTTGAGGGCACTTCCTGTAAATTCTTTAGTCTGGTGTCCAGTCTATCGTTGTTGGATGGGCTTCGGGGCTGCAGAAGCTCTTCCCCGCTCGACTCAGCTAGGTTACCCGGTAGATTTTTCACGACGGGAGAAAAACAGCATCATCTCCCGTTGTGAAAAACATACCAGAGAAACCTAGCTTGATCGGGCGGGGAAGAGCTCCTGCAGCCACGGAGAAATGGTTCTGTTGATACGAATAAATTTTTCAACGATGAATCAAGCATATTGCCTTCCTTTTTGAAAGAAATGTGTTCCTGCAATATCAAAATATATGTAGGGTATAAAGGCGGTAACGGGGTCCCGAGAGCAGGGGGAACGGTAGCGGGGCGTACGGGAGCGGGGGCAACCGGCCCCGAGAGCTCGAGCAGGGGGAACGGTAGCGGGGCGTACGGGAGCGGGGGCAACCGGCCCCGAGAGCTAGGTGTGAGGCGTTCGGGGGGGGGGGTATAGTACCGGCATGTCCGACCCGTACACGGCGAATTTCCGCTGCTGTGTTGAGGATAATTAGGTGATAATTGCCGCTAAATTATGCATATTCCAGCAACGCACGGAGCGGTAGTACCGGCATGTCCCACCCGTACACGGCGAATTTCCGTTGCCGTGTTGAGGATAATTAGGTGATAATTGCTGCTAAATTATGCATATTCCAGCAACACACGGAGCGGTGCACGGACATTTCCTGCCGTTTACAGGGATTTAAAGGCGACGTGTCCAGGCATTTAACGTCCCGTACACGGCCTGCACACAAAAATTGGTTCATTTCCTTGAATTTCCAGGACATGTACGGGACTGGACACTATACGTGTGCAGGTTGGAAACCCCCGGGTTCTACCGGAAACCTAAAATATCCGGGAAAGTGTGCGACAATTTCTCACACGGAAACTAGGGATTTCATCCGGTGAATATTCATTACCACATTCATTATGTACATGTATCTGACATTCTTTGAATGGAAACAAGTTTTACAGTAAACTTAAAACTATCATACGATGTAACCAACAAGCCATTATCATGGTTAAAGAATACAGATCATATCACATTCCAAAACATTCAGCAAACCCTGCAGCTTTGGCATTATAGCATTGGCACAGTCACAGTCTTTGGAAACCTGAAAAAAACAGGAAAGACCTTTCTTAGTTTGCATTGCATGCAGGGGCTGAAGACAACAAAGTCAAAAGAGGATGCTAAAAGTAGGATTGAATTACTTCAAGTTTACTCAACAATTGAAAATAATATAATTATAATGTAGTAAAACACTGTACTCTACAATATACCAGAGATACAATTTAGAAATCAACCCCAATGGAATTGTAGCAAATAAGCTATGAAGTCTAAAAACAATGTCAACAGAATTTTTTTCTTCTTGGTGGGGAGGGGGGCGCACTTACCTTATATAAGTTTGGTTCCATCCTTTTTTCGTTGCAAAGTTGGTTTCTTCTGCAAGCCGACACGATCACCATTGCTTCACATGCTCACAAGGTCCTTTTTACCTTGATTTTGACTTCAAATCCAACGATATGAATCAATATATGACTAAAAAGATGTAACCAGCACAGAGCACTGCCCCCCACATCTGACTTCACCCCAGCTTCTGTTCAAAAATCCCTAACTGCATTCTGGGATTTGAATTAACCAATCAGGAGCTCACAAGAGATCACATGACAGTTATGGCTAGAATGTTAAGAAAAAATTCTTACATTATCTTGAACATTACCAGGGAAAAAACTCATCTTTCTTGAACTTTCTCGATAAGGAAAACAAAAACGTTAAGAACTTTAAGTATTTTTTGCTTTCAGGTTTTAAATTTGATTTCTAATTCAACCATTTTTTTGTCTAAAAAGAAAGCAAAGACACAGATTCTTGTATTTTCTTGAACATAACCTGACCAAGAAAAACAAGAATCATTTTCTTGAACTATCTAGATAAGTAAAACTATGCTAGTTACAAGTATAGAATTATTCAAAGTCAAGAAAGTAAAGAAACTAATTCTTGTCTCAGTGACATTACTAAAAGAATCTAGAATCAGATTGCTCAACTTTCTAAATTACAAAAAAAAAACAAGAACAAATTCTTAATACCCCAAAAATAGATTCTTACACCAAGATTCCTTTTCTAACTTTAAGAGTGATATTGCTTATCAATTACTATTATATTATTATTGTCAAGAAAGCCTTTCTTCTATTTAAGTTTCATGTTCTTACAACAAGAATGCATGTCTTTTTCCTCAAGACAGAAATTCTTAATATATATACCACTATAATCTTTGAGACTTTGGTTCTCAGTTCAAGACCAAAATTCTTACTGCCAATAAACACTTTCTTCTAAGCAACATATGTCAAGAAAGTGAAGAACAAAATTCTTGTTTTTTCTTGACACAGCCCAAGAAAAGCAAGAACTTCCTTTCTCAAAGTTTCTTGATATGAAAAAGAAGAAATTCAGAATGTTATTCTAGTTATGACTTGATCTTTGTCTTCTAGTTTCAATATCTTGAATATTCTTGTTTTTCTAAGCAATATACTCAAGAAAGGTTAGATCAAAATTCTTGTTTTTTCTGATACAGTCCAAGAAAAGAAAGAACTTCCTTTCTCAAAGTTTCTTGATATGAAAAACAAGAAAATTCAAGAATGTTATTCTAGTTATGACTTGTTTTTTAAACCCTGCTTTTCTTGTTTTTCTTACTATGAGAAATACAAGAAACTTAAGGGAAAAATTCTTGTATTTTCTTAACCATGGCAAGAAAGTAATTCTTCAGACAAGAAAAACAAGACCATTTAACTCAATTTTCTAGAACATTCTAGGGGGAGAAAATCACTGCTAGAAATTATTTCTTCACGTAAGAAAAATAAGAAAATGTTTCTTGTAGTGAAAATTTACAAGAAAAAAATTTTAGAACGATCTGTTGCTCTTTTCTTATTTATTCTTAATTGTTCTTGAAATTTCTTCATGTAAGAAAATTTGTCCACGAATTAAGAAAAACAAGAAAAACAAGAAAATCATTTTTGGTAGTGTAGTTGTCTTAGCCGTAACCAGTACTTTACAACCCTGACTGAAACATCAATATCTACTGGAAATCTGCCAAGTTCAGCTTTACATGCTATGTTGCTGGCATTTCCGTGAAAACGGAAACAGCAGTGTATTACATTTAATTTGATTGGATTGTTATCCTTCAAGTGGTTCGTAAATATCCACCTGAGGTTAATTTTCAGGTCATGCACATGAAATGAAAAAGTCATTAAATTATACACTACATCAAAACACTGATGGACACATTTCTTAATCTACTATAAAGAAGCAAACAAAGATAAGAACCGACCTCTCTGTAGATTGGCAAGGGCTTCGGCAAATGGCTCCAGAAATGCAATCATTGGGGGTTTCAGGACTCCAAACCACACTCCAGCAAAGATGCAGTTCTCTCGCTTGGTCCTTTGAATTAAAAGAACAGTAAGATAAAGATGTCAACATTTACATTTGTATATGTGTCAAGTATCACTACTGTAAATACCCAATGATTTCACCTTGATTTGAGTTATTTTGATCACTCAAATTAAAACGTCTTAATATATGGTTGACTAAATTTTGCTACATAGTAGTTTCAAGATCTGTCATGTTTATCTACTAGCATTAAGAGGGGTTGGGGTTTTATAGGCGCCTATAAAACCTAAACCCAATTTTAGGTTCAGGTCCGGATTCAAGTCCAGAGGTTTAGGTTCAGTTCCGGACTTGTAAGTCCGGACCTAAACCCATGGCATATACAAAATTGCATGTTGGCAACCTTGCAATGTTGTCTGGGTGAAACTTTGGCCACATAACATGGAGGCCTGTACTTGACGATGCCCGATGGCAATGTTTTCTTCATTTTGCAGCAAGGATTTTACAATATACGAAGGTTTTAGGTGGTTTGAAAAGAAAAGGGGTATGTGAAATGGTCTTTTATGGTAATAAGTCCGGACTCGGTTCTTGACTTTAAGGATTTTTTGGACTTTGAACCTAAACATTCTTACAAGTCCGGATCCAAGTCCAGTGAACCGGTATGCCATACCTCCCCCCCACTGTTACATTTGTGAACTGTCAAACATGATTAATTGTACCTTAATTTTTTGGGGGGGGGGGCATTTTGGAAAAGGTGCTATTTCTGGCATACATGTTTATTTATATACATCCAATTTAAAATCAAATGTACTGCCTCACCTTTGATTGTACGGAAGTTCATTGACTGTGAAGTACACTGGCCAGATTCCATAATTGCTCGATTTGAACACTCTGACACCATCAGTGTTCATCAGCAGTGACATGTTGTTCGGGTTTTTCAAGGCTTCGATTTTCTTGTACTGGAGTCCGTCGGTGATATCTTCATAGGTGTCTTGTCCCAGTCTTGTCCTTTGAAACCGGTTCCGGACCATTCTGCAGAACCCTTCACGTAGTGTAGGAAATTAATGTGTAACATCAACTGGTTGTGTCCTTCCAAATGTGATTTAAATGGCAATTGTGATTTCAGCGCAGCAAACTGTATTTTCAAAGTCAGTTTCCTGGTCATTCATTTAAATTGAATCAAACCTACCCCACAATAATATATTGAGCAAACTGATATCTGTGAGGGGAAAATGCAATGTGACTGATTGGAAATGGTTGTTTGTTTTGTACCATAAAGCTGGTTCAACCTATTTTGGGAAATACATGTACCTGAGATGTAGCTTGTTGTTTGGCTATTTCAAATCAATGCTTTATGTATGGAATGATGACAAAAATGTGCTTAGAAGTGGTACTGTAAATGTCAATATCAGACACCCGATTTCCTAATTCAGAATATTTTTTGGCTGCCCTAAAATTGCATTGGATACAGTTTCGTTGGAGGATGAAGCAAAGATACAGTGAGATTATAAAAGTAATCTATCAAGGGGTTCTATTACCTATATCATCATCATCATCATCCGATAACTTCCGACCTATATACTATATACACCTATATACTAATTCTATTACCTATATACTAAATACATGTACTAGTATTTGCTTACACTCATTTTGAAATATCAATATTGATACTAGTAGATAAGACTCCTGTAATGAATGTTCCAACCTCCTTAGATGTACCAAATGTTTTGGGAATCTGTCCAGATGGAATTGAACCATCATGGTTGTGCACTCTCCCAGTCTCTATAGTATTATGAAACTTATAGGCCTGAGAGCCCATTTTATTATCATTATATACTTAAAGTAAGTTACCTAGTACTTAATAGTACGTAGTAATTACAATGTCACTGAGCAAAGGTGCCAGTAGAAAGTCGTGAATTATAATACATCAAGCAAGGTGATAATTGCTCTGGTTCCAGCACCCATTGCTGCGCCCAGTGTGTTTTGATTCTTTTGGCGCCTTATTTTCACTTTCCTGAATTTTCATAGTGTTAAATGTTGACTCCTTACTTTCTCCCTACGTTAAAAGTTTTTAACTACGTACGCAATTTGGGAAAATGATCTTTCAACAAGAGTAAAAACAATATGGCTTTACCAGTACAGGTAAAGCCATAAAAAAAAACATTTCACCATGTAAAACCGAGTGCACATAACTTATCGTTGGTACAAAACTACATATTTCTTAAATGCTGGTGAAAAATAGGCCACACCTCACTTTTGAAAGCAGTGATGGCAATTTGGCTGAGACTAAAAGTTGTAAAAAAGGGACAGTTGTTAAGACATCAGTTGTTAAGCGGGGTACTGTAATTCACTTTGTCTTAAAATTTGCCATTCTCTGTAGCGAATTTCAGTTTGAGGAAAATGGACATGTTCACGTATACTAGTAACCTTCAAGGCGGCAGCAGTGTAGGGTGGGGGCAAAACTTTGAAGACCAAGGAGATTGAAGAGAGACCTTGGAAGACAAATGATTTGATATTATGGTAATGATAAGACCATGAAAACAGTGAACATGAATGTACTAAGCCAAAAATCAGGAATTACTGTATTCAAGGCACTATGTCCTACTTCTGAATATTACTTTACATGTTACCAAAGCCTTGTGACTATATTTTGACTCTGTCTTTTATTTTGTCAGTCAAACGTGAATTGATTTGAGCAGTCATCCAGGTTACTGCTGCAAAAGCCACATTAAAACTTGCCTATAAATGGCTAAACATAATTATTAATTAAATCAGGCAGGACGAAAGAGAGGATAAAAGAGGCTGAGCAGCTTAAAAAAATAGTCCTGTCCAATTTTACAAGCAGGCAACTTCCCAGTAATCTCCAAGCAGATCCTTGGGTGGGGAAATGGATCAATTCTGTACAGCCTGACCAATTTGATACTGCATTTTGTCACCGGTATCCCACCCTAGGGTCTGCTTGGAGATTACTTCGCCCATGTGAGGTAGTGGTCTTCTCTAGCCAGCAGCCACATTTTCGCCAGTCCCCAGGGACATTCAGACCTCAATAGCCAAAATGAGCCCAGCACTGTAATATGTTTCACCAAAACCTCCTTGGTTTCAGAGCTACATAGACAGGTTTAAACCAGTGAAGCAGTGCTTTTTTGCAAAGTACAAATTGAACCAGTGGAATTTTGACACGGAAAAAAAGGATTCTTTTTTGGTGCTCTAGTATATCTCTGTGATTGTAATCTAACATAATTTTATAGTTCTATACTTGCAGCCGTATTGTCCAGATACATGTATCATACAGTATGATGTACCATGTGTTTTTCTTCTTCCATGGATGTGCCAGTTTACTTAGGTACTACTGTGATGTACAATGTGTTTGGATGACCTGCCTGCCTGCTGGCATGTCGAATCTGGCATGTCTGCCATGGGGCAGCCCCTAGTCCCCTGAGTGTCTCAGTAAGTTGTTGCTGAGAGATCCCCACTAGGGTCTGCTTCCCCAGCAGATAAAAAACAGATGCAAAGGTGTGGTCTCTGAATCTCTCATGAAAAAGAACACAGTCTCTGAATCTCTCATGAAAAAGAACACAGTCTGTGGAGGCAGGCCATAACACCATGTTTTCTACATCAGTTGAAAGTCTTGTTTCCTTTTCATATAATAATTGAAGACAATGAAGTAAATATTTCCCTCTGAGCTTCATCCATGTAGCTATTCAAATATAATTTTGCATACTACAATTGTAGTACAAAAAATATTTTTGAGTACAATTTCATTGGAAAATGTCTCTACTGAACAAAACACTGGGAAAGTGGGCTAGTCCACCCAGGGAGGAAGTATTAGAGGTCAATGAGAGGTCAAACCTTTTGGCCATATTCTGAAAATATACCTTCCTCTGTCCTCCTGAGCTTACCAGGAAACTGGGCTTTTGTCAAGTTTGTGAGCAAAATTAACCCAGGGAAAAAAATTATGTAAAAAAGAAGTCCCAAAATAAATATCTCAACCAGGTATACATTTATGTACATGTATTGTAAATATCCTAATATGTAACAGAGAGACACACAGACACACACACACACAGAGACAGAGTGAGAGATTTTGAATGGAGTATCTCAATTTTATTTCTTTCCTAAGCTGACATACAATCAATCCCTATCTAAAAGCTTGCACAGCTACTTCCTAACTGTCTCTCACTTTAGACTGACCTATTTGTACTTTTTTTTGGAACCAGAGCAAAGCATTACAAAATACATCATTAAAGCAACTGCCTCAACTTCCTACATGATAGGGAACTCACAATAAATACAACCTCAACCTAATTCTCAATGAATAATCAGCACAAAACTTCCATGATACATAGAAAATATACTTTACACATGACTTTTCAAGAGAGAACTCGTCCAACTCCTTGGAGATAACTTTGGGACTGGCACTGACGCGGTATTTCGTAAAACGGGACTACAAATCCACAAGAAGCTACGCCAACTGACTCATTTGAAACGGAGTAGGTATACAAATCAGTTTTCCCTTGAATCGTGGGTTCAGCTATCTGACAAAGAGAAAAAACTACATACCTTCAAAAACTGCAAAGAGTGTTCGAAATCTAAGTACAGAGCATATCAAGATCTTTGGTCCGGCAACACTACTGGTGCTAACCCTTTGAAGGACAAAACTACTGTTAATCAACTTAATGCAACTGTCTGTGCCAGACAAATTTACCACACTGTAAATACCAAGTTCCAGAAGAAATTCAATGTCTCATTTGGGGAGTCCTTGGCCAGAGTTTCTGAGGCTAAGGTCAAGGTGAAGAAAACGACTTTAAAAGCAAAGGGAAAAAGGGCTGCTCTGAGAAAATGTGGTCCTGTGGTCTTAAACGGCCCAGATCCTAAAAGCTCGCACAGCTACGTATACATTTGTACTTCCTAGCTGTCTTTCACTTTAGACTGACCTATTTGTGATCTTGCCAGTGACAGAGATGCCTCACTACACGATTCTCCCCAATCCTGTGGTCTCATAAGGCCCAGATCCACATGTTTCTTCAGGAGCTCTTTGGTGTGTCTTGTACCTACAATATTTTACCAGCTTTCAGATTGAACCTTAAACCCCCAAAAGGCGCTTGTCCGGAGACAATATGGCCTCTAGCAGTTAACTGACAGGCGTGTAATGGTTAATCCCAGTCCCGTGCCAGAAGCCTAATAGACCCGGGCCTTGGTGTCCCATTGGGGAAAACGGACACATGTGGCCAGAGCCTGGCCTTGGAAAGACTATCTTACAGTGCTGCAGGAATGTTTCTATTTCGGCTTTGTGTTTACCAAGTTATTTCATTCCAAGTGTAAATTTTGTACGCGCGCATGTGAATGTGTACATGTATATTACTTGCCAGTAATAGAAACTTCCCAGTAACAGTGAGTAACTGTCTAGACACTTGTTTCTTTGTAGCACATTTAGGCTGCTTACTATGTACAGTAACATGATTATGGTAAACATCGTACCCTACATGTATACAATCATAAGAGAAGTACATGGTTGACATGACAGCCATGAGTACAATAAATGCAGGATTACATCATAACCACATCATCGGTCACTATCACTGACACATATCATTATAGAGTTACAGTCGGTACTGGTACAAACATATATACAATGTTCAGACTTTGCCCTAGTTTTTGCTCTTCAATAGAATGCATAACATAACCTACAAAATAAAAGCAAAGTAGCATAGGTTTATAGGAAACATACCTTTAAGTGTCATAATAAATCGTCTGTCCCAATGTAAACAACAGATTGACTTTGACTTGCACCTTTTAGGAGAAACCACTAGTAATTGCTCATATAAATCAGTTCAGTTCAGTTCAGGTCATCCTCTAAGGTGCCATTCGTAATGTCACTCCATGTGGCTCTGTCTCGCATGGCGGACAGAAGTTCCTCATCCCGTAGTCCAAGACCTGGGACATATAATTGTCCCAGATGGTGGCTTTGAAGCTGTTGGTTTTTCTCCTCAGCACACGGTGCCCCTCCACCGCCCTGGGGTTTGTGGCAGACTGTCGCCTGATGACAGAAGTGTGTTCTCTGTCAACATGCTCATTCTGCAGAAACAAAATCAGAAGGACAATGAGAAAAGTATATGAAAGAGAACACATACTGATGATTTCTGTAACAGTGGGGGGGG